CAATGCTGCTTTCTGAACACTGTGATACGGTCTGGCTTTCAATGTGATTGTGCAATCTGAATATTGTCATCTCGCTTCTGTTCATTTTCCTTGCATTCTGTCCTCCATCACTCCTCCTCCTTCCCCTCCGGAGTTCTTGACCTTCTCGAGAGAGAGAGAGAGAGAAAGAGTTGTGAGTCGAGATTGGGTGACATTGGACCATCATTGGGCAGAGATATTGGGGGAGACTTTGTGGAGAGTTTAGGAGTGATATTTGTGTTGATGACATCTCCATTCCTTCTCCTCCTTCGTCTTTTCCTCCTCCTCCTCATCTGTGGATGATCGCTCTCCTGGCGCCCTTCGTCTGTGTATTGGACGGCAGGACCCTTCTCACCCTGTCTGATATGAGTGTGATGCAGTCAGTCCGAGACAGTCCGAGACCTTTGAGTCGGGTCATGGTAGATCAGTCTTCCACTGCGCTATTTGTGCTCTATCTCTTTGGGTCGGTTCTCGGTTCTGATCCTTGTCTTTAGGCATGCGACAATGCTCTTTGTAAGCTCTTCGACTTGCTGGGAGAAAGAACAGGAGTGTTGCTCCCCGGACTGGAAAGGAGCCAGGACCATGGAGCCCTCTTTTTGCCAAAAAACGACAAAACAATGAAAACAAAAAGGATAAGAAGAACAAAAGAAAGAAAAGGAATAACCTCAGAACCATTGCAGATGATCTTCAAAAATCCATACTAGTGATCTCTGCTAGGGTATGTCTAGCACATGGAAATATGCCCGAAACAGCAGCTCAACACATATGTACACTCCATGCCAGAGAGTCAGATACACACACGAATTGTGAGGATGGGAGGTGTGGAAATGTGCCTATCTTGCAGTGCACTGGTGTCATGCATGTCCAGCACTACGTGGCAATTTGTCGCATGTTTTTGCAGCAGAGCGCTTCTTCCCACCTTCAGCTGTACGCCATGATCTGCTCGCATGTAACTCTGTTACCTGCATTTTCGGCATTTCTAATCCGGCCGGAAACCACTGGCACATTGGCATATGACCAAAGCACAGACGCAAAACCTGTAAATCACTCACTGCAAGGAAGGCCAGAGGATGTAGGTCGCTTGAAGGGCAAGTGGGCCAAAGGAAAGGTTCCATATGTTAAGTTTAACTTGTCCGAACCCCTGCACTCCCCAAGTGGGCCAAAGGAAAGGTTCCATTTGTTAAAGTTTAACTTGTCTGAAACCCTGCACTCCTCCCCCCCCCGGCCCACCAACAGGACACTGGAGGCATGCGAACCAATGCAATGTGTAGGAAAGAGGGTGGTTGAGGCACAGGAAACAATACCATGAACGAGATGCCACGTGCATTCCAAATAAGGTCAAATTTGCATTGGAGCTTGCTGCAACAACAAAGCAGAGAAGGGATCTGGGCAACAAAAAAAATGAAGACAGAGGGACACAGAAAAATCCAAGTCAGTGCTGAAAGAAATCCTTTCTGCTGTTACCTCTCTCTGCCATAATAGGAAAACCGGGTTTTGGTCATCAAGCGGGTAAACCACATGCTGAATTGGCCTGGGTGAACTTCAACATTTCGTATTAAAAAGATTCTTAAAAAAAAGTGAAAAAAGGATTCTTAAAAAGTTTACTCGGATTCTACAAGCTGTTTGTAACTCTTACAGTTTTGTGCAGGCAGCTAAATGTGGTAATAAAGAAAAGACTCAAAAGTTACTCGCTCTCAATTCAAGAGTCGGACAAGCACAAAAACCACAATTTATATAAGAGTAGAAACTACACTTCCTACTTCTACAGTAGTCAAATAATTTACTGTTGAAACTATGATCAACGCACCCAGGTAGTCTGCCCTACGTGACAGTGCAACAACAACCTTGTTATACTCCCCTTTCACATAGTCTAGCTTGAAGTTATATTGATCTATGACTTCAATCCAACGTTGAGTGCGTTGGAGAGAACAGGTTGTGTCTTGATCCACTCGAGTGTCTGATGGTCGGTCCTCAAGTAGAATAACCTTTCCAACAGATAGTGCCTCCAGTGGACAAGTGCCTTGTAGAGGGCATAAAGTTCCCTTTCGTAGGTGGACTTCACCAACTTCTTCAATGACATCTTCTTGCTCATGTACTCGATCGGCCTTAACTTCTTCCCTTCCTGCTGAGCCAACACTGCGCCAATGTCGTACTAGCTTGCGACAGTGTACTACAAATGGCCTTTGAGGATCGGGGACCATGAGAACCTCATGATGCGTAAGGGCATGCTTCGGTCTCTTGAAGGCAGCCTCACATGCGTCTGTCCATTCCCATGGAGTGCCAAGGCGAGTTAGATCGGTCAAGGGAGATGTGATCGTACTATAATTATGTACCAAATTGCGGTAATAACCACACATCCCCAAGAAAGATCTGACCTCAATCACAGGCTGGGGTCGTGGCCAGTCTCGAATGCTAGCCACCTTCGCATCTTCCAGCCTAATCCCTTCCGCGGATACTTCATGACCCAAATACAAGATTTTAGTGCAACCAAACTCGCATTTCTCTAAATTTATCTTATACTTGTGCTGCCGAAGGAGAGAAAGGACTTTGTCTACATGCTGAGCATGCTCCTTGACAATCCTACTGAAGATAAGGATGTCGTCGAGGTACACGACGATAAACTTATCCAAGTAGTCATGGAAGATCCTGTTTATGGCGTGCTGGAATGTCCCTGACGAATTGCGAAGGCCGAAAGGCATTACCACAAACTCGTACAGACCGTACCTGGTCTGAAATGCGGTTTTGTGCTGGTCTTCCGGTCTAATGGCAATTTCATGGTAGCCGGACTTCAAGTTTATCTTGGTAAAGTACGTCATCAATGCGCAGTAGGGGCTCTTCGTTTTTAACGGTGATGGCATTGAGGCCCCTATAATCAATACACATCCTCGGTGACCCCCCCTCCTTCGGTACAAATAGAACGGGTGAGCCGAAGGGGGAGATGCTAGGCCGTATCCAACCCTTTTCTGTGAGCTCTTTCAGTTGCCGATAGACCTCATCCAACTCGGCCGGAGCCATCCTATAGATTCTCCCTTTGGGTATCTTGCTCCCAGGGATGATCTCTATGCCATGGACAACCTCTCTGTCTATGACACCTGTAGGCTCCTCAAACAAATCAGGGTACTTAGCAACGACACTCTCTATCTCTACGGTCATTTAAAGGCCTCCCCTTTCTCAGAGACAAAGACCAGGTACATACCCTCCCCTTGGTTCTATTTATAGTAATTATAGAAGGCCGATGCGCACAAACACCCGTAGGAGTCAAATAACCTACTAGCCTTATATTTAGCTAGTCTAACGGTCCTCCCATTAAGCAGCTCATGCTTCAGCACTTTCTTGTCCAGTCAAACTAGGGCTTGGCAACCTCAAGGTAATACATACCTAACAACATGTCAAATGGTATGATTAAGTTCCCCTCCTGCATAGGAGAAAGTGTAGACCACGTCCTTAATGTAGTCCTCCACCAACATGCGTTCTTTGTTGGCCAGAGTAGATGCTACCGGTCTACTCACGCGCTGCACCCGGTCCTGCAGGCGCAGTCTCTCAACGCAGTCACGACTTATGAAATTTCGTGTGGAGTCGATATCTACAAAGGCACCGCACCTGCGATTACCTACACCAACTTCCACAACGAAGTGTTCCCCTCTAGGACCTCGACTTAGTGCCACCCAGGACTCACGAGGGTCCCTTGCCGACCACTCACTTTGTAGGTCCTCTAAGGCCTCAGACACATCCAACGAGCAGAGAAGCGTTGGGTCAGGATCCATCTACGGGGTAACTAAGGAGTCAATAGCTTCGACCAACTCTTGAAACGGGGAGGGTACATCACCCGTTTCAACACGAATAGAAGCAGCTACAGCTTCTACTAGCCCTATGTGTTTCCCGAACCAGAACTCGTAGAGGCACCACTCTGGGAATAAGGAAACCCACCTTTTGGTGGTTTCTTCAGCGAGACCTTCACGTTCTTGCATTTGAATTGCTGACGGTCATACTCGCCACAGTTAATGCAAGCACCCCGCGTGTAACGATCCCGCCACACATCTTGATCCAAACCCGCACGAACCCAAGCCGCTATCTTGTTCAGGTTGGGGGTTTGCCACTGACTCCTCTGTTGACCGCCCTTGCCCCGACCACCAGCCTTGCTTTACTACAGCAACGAGGTTGCTACCCTCAACATCATCCTCGCCGTCTATCTCTGTACCGTCCACAAGGTCAGAGAAATCCTCGTCTCGGTCTGAGTACCATCAACCTCAACCATCATCAATCGACTCCCCTTCTTTCCTTCCTGTGGACTCTTCTTCTTTTTTCCGTCCGTAGAAAGTTGTTGTGCACCTCCTAGCGTGGCTTCTAAATTTAAAGCCTTCTTGCTAAAGGTCTCAAAAGTGGGATACTCTACTCGAGCTTCGCTGGCTAATAAGTTCATGATGTCTGTGGGAAGACACCTCAAGAACATGGTCAATAAGACCTATGGATTGTATTGTACCCCGGGGACGACAATCAATCGCTCTACAACAGAGGTGAGCTCGCTCACGGACTTGTACTTTCTAGCATCAAGTTTCAACAACCCATCAATGACAATCTGTGCCTGTTGTGGGTTGTGCCATCACGCTTCCACCAAATCCATAATTCTCTCTAGGGTGTGGGACTGAGCCCAATCACCCATGTTCCTGCCGAACCCCTTTGAGGCAACCAATCCGTTTAACCAGCGAGCTGTCGATCCCTCCAAATAGGATGCAGCAGTTATCACTTCCTCCTCTACCAACGTCCTCTTTGCCCTCACCCTGAGTCACCCACACTGGCACCGTTCTCAACCAAGTGTCGAGAGCCTCATCCTTCTTATCTCCTAAGAAGGTTGGGGGTGGTTTAAATGGGGTCTTCGGGTACCAACGTTGTTGTTGTCCCACTGGTGGGATAGGTGACGGCTGTGGTGTAGCTCCAGCCGCTGGACGAGAAAATGAAGAAGCAGCAGTCTATGTTGTTGCTGCTGATGTACCGCTTGTTGTGGTACCAGACTAAGGCAGATACGAACCTGTCATCCCCGAGAATGGCAGCGATGGCAAAACTGTTGGCCTGACTCCTGGGCTGTGCATGGCATTCAGGATCTGGTCCAGGGTGTCCTGGATAGCGTCCAGTTCGCTGTCCATGTGTGCATGTACGGACAAGATGCTCGCCTCGACGATCTTCATGTTATTGTCCACGGTCGAGTCATCTAACCCCTCTAAAGCAGCTTTGTCTGCCGCCCTACCCTCAAGTCTGACACTTCTATTTCTAATTTCATTCTCTCTTTTGGTAGCCTTCTTAAGTTCCTCCTCTAACCTTAAGTGAATCCTCTGTACTTGTTGGAGCTCCATCTGCTCCCTGGTGCGTGGAGGTGGCGAGCAGGCAAGCCCGCCATCTGACTAGTGTCGGCTCCTGTCGTACTGGAGATGGACTGCGAACTGGTCGAGTTGGACGGCATGCCGAACAACAGACCAGACGAGGTTGGTGCAAATGTTGCTGCAAAGGTGGCCAATGCTACTGCGCTAGCTGCTGCTGTTGCTAACTCCTCTCTACAGTTGTTGCTGCTTCCCTTACAATCTCAAGATTACGGGCCCTTGCTTCGGCCCTTAGCCTTCTCGCTTCTCCAGTAACAGGACCTGAAACACTACAGGTACCCTAAGCGAATCCCTAGTCTGCCTTTTGTCGTCAATTGCACCTTCACCATCCTCTGATCCACTCATCGGCTAGGCAGACGCTGTCTGCACTAGAGTCCACTCTGGAACCTACCGCAGCATGCGTCTGACCGGTTCTAAAAATAAATAAAATTAAAATAAACAAGAAAGAAGCTATGGCAACCATTTATTCGTTGCGCTCGCTGAGGTGCGATCAACTATCAACCGTCGTGGGACCAGACCAGCCTTCAATCGAAAGAGACAAGAAAAAGCAGGGGCATCCATGCAATCCGCCAGGCCATTCCGACTCAGCCAATTTCMCCCCCCCCCCCCCAATATAGCCTTTCGCAGAAATCCGCGCGGTTCCAGAGAACAGTTCGTCACAGTACAATCTACGGTGGCCTTAGTACATGCACTTCCTCATTGACAGTGTCTCCGCACAGTAGGGTGTCCTAGTACAGTTTGGGGTAGCCATAGTACATGCAGGCACTCACTGTCTAGTACCCTTAGTGCCTCTGCATAGTACGGTCCTAGTACAAGTACAGTCTAGGGTAGCCTTTTCATTGGCAGGAATACCTCCATTAGCAGGATGTTGCAACAAATTTTCTCTTTTTTGTTGTTCTTATAAAAACAAGGGGACCCGCTGTGACTGCGCCTGCGGCGGAGTCGGAAGAGTGAGGAAGAAGTGAAAGGGTAGGATGAAGGAGAAGTGGAAGTTGAAAACTCACAGTGAGAAA